AAAATTCACCCTTTCGAATGGTTTGAGTTGGGAGAACTTTAAAACAGCAAATTCTGTGCATTTAAATCTGCAGAGATCAGGCTGCAGGAGCTTCAACTAAACAAATCTGTGATCCGACTCTGGAACAAAGTACATAAGCAGAGCCTAAAGAGAGACATTTCTGATTTCTGCAAGGCCTTTCTAGACAGCCTTGTCCAGGGAAAACTTGTAAAAGGGAAGGGGAAGAGAAAAGAAGTGAAGGAGAACAGCGACTGGAGAGGATTTCCTGAAACGACTCAGAAAGGAATAGCCACAGCCTCTCTGCCTGCAACGCCGCACACCCCAGGAGTTCCTCGCAGGCGGCCGCCAGCCCAGAGACAGCCAGTTATGCCCAAGTTATTTATTTTTTTCACTTTAGCAGTGTCACGTATTTAACGTTTTAAAAAATAGTATCTTCTTTTATCTGCGGCAGGATACAAAGCAAGAAGCAGCTTCCTAGAGCAGCCAGGCAGAAGGGAGCTGGCAACCTGTGCTGGGTCAGGAGGGGAGGAAGATTAAAAGGAGATGGGATTTTGCTTTGTCCTTCACGGAAGACTTTATCCCCTCCAGATACACAACAGAAGCTTTCTCTCCCTTGGAGGTTGGCGGGCAATGGCCTTCCTGTCTCTCAAAGCTGCTCCTGGGTCATGCACAGGGCAAGCTGTGAGCAGCACAGCCCCGTCCTCTGCCCCAACTGCAAACCCTGCTGCCAGCCCCCCGCTCCCCAACGCCGCCCGGTGCCGCAGGACGCGCGTCCCTGCTTCCTCGGGTGGCACTCGTCCCGGCGCCAGCCCTGGCTTCTCGCCCGCTGCAAGGGGACACTGATCAATTAGCGCACAACAAATAATTAAGCTGATGAATGTCTCTTTTTCCTGCTTGCTGACTGCAGTTGCCTCGAATTTATGCCCAGAATATGACTGAATTTATTCGTTGCCGCCTGTAGCATTCAAAAGAGGTCTTTAATGATTTCTTTTAAGCTCTCTAGCCTGATTGTGAATAGTGCAGGGCAAATACTCATTATTTCCTATCTAAGCAGCAGCGCTGATTAGTCAGCGGTTGGTCAGAGAAGTCGCACCGCTCTGTTCCCCTCTCGCTGCAGAAATGCACAAGGTCATTTGCTGCTAATGCTCAAATGCAAAGGGAAAACATGGCCTAAGCAAATGCTGCACGGAAGAAGTCTCTTGTGCATTTTCAGGGCAACAAAACAGGCGCGTGTAAAAAATCTCGCATTACGTAAGAAGGCTCAGAATTAAAGTGAATATGGGTTGAATAATTTTGATTTCACGCAGCCTGGTTCACAGCACTGTGCGCAGCTGAAAGTGCATTTGGGAGGGTAGTAGGACTGCAGTGAAACTTAAGTCTTGACAGTTTGCGGACATTAAAGATCTGAAGCCACCTCTTCCTTGACTGTTAACTCCTGAATCTTCACATGATGCAATGTTAATCTCCAGCCCTTTCCTAAAGTAATGCACGGAGTTGCTACGTTCTGTTAAATGTGAACCATGTGTCAATTCAGCAATGGCTGCAACGGTGAAAAGATGATAAATCTAAAGCTTGTAAAATGTCCTGTGACATTTTGGGAGAAAAACAGGTGTTGCATAAATGTTAGACATTTATGGGTAAACTTGCAGGGGCTTTGAAAGACTGACACATCTGCCACATAGTATGTAACCCTGAAAGAAAAGGAGCAAAGCAGTCTCTTTCATGTGTCTCGCTCCTTCTACAACCTTATGAAAATACATCCTCATCTGGTATTGGAATTAACAGAGCTGGACTCGCCCCTCCCTATGTCTCCTCCAGGTTTTTGGCTTTTACACCCAATGCGTATTTTAAAACTGTGCCTTTTTAAGTAGGTGGCAAACTGTGCTGGAAGGATTTGGTATGCGGAGTATTTTTATTCAGCTCCCTTTTCTCTCACCTTTCATTGTTTTTCCCTTTGGAATATCTCCTGTAACGCTCCACTCATAAACCTCTTCAAAGAGAGGGCTGTATTTGAACAGCCTTGCCTGAAATCTGGTCTCAGTCAAAGGCCTCAGACGGGAAAATAACTCTGAGAGCCGAGACCCATGGCCCCCACGGCTGCTGCCGCAGGTGTCGGCGGCCGCTTTGCAGGCAGAGAGGTGCTGCCTGCTGCCTCTTCGGCTCTGATGCCGCAGCCCTGCCGGCTGGGTTATTATTCCCCCCTTTACCCTATAAACGTAATAAACTGGGACTTAGCATCTTGCTTTTGGCATGGTAGGTCCAAGGAGAAGGTGGTTTTCTCACTCCTCCCCAGTGCCTTGTTCTGCTCCTGGGATATTGTTGGTGTTCTGGGAGAGAGGAGATTTTGGGAAGCTGAATGCATGCCGAGGAAGTGATGGGCTCTGTGGCTCAGCCGTCAAACCATATAAACTCTAGGATAGGTATTTCTAAAGTACAAACTAGGGCAAGTCTAATTCCCCAGGTCACAAAGATACAGCTCCCAGTAAAGTCAGTGGAAGCAGATTTATCTCCAAAAAGCTGCAAAACCTCCCGCTCCATAGGGGAAATGCATCAGATGTGTGACCAGCTGCCTGTCTCTGAACCACTTGCCCTTTGCATCGGGCAGTTTTAGCACAGAAACCAGTAACCAACTGGACTACAAAGTGCTTTCCCTCTCTTGGGTGGTCACTTCGTTTCTGGGTGGCAGCGAAACAGCAGATATTTTGAGCGTGACTCGCCTGGCTGGTAAGTGCTCAGAACTCTCTGCAGATCCCACTCCGTCTCAACTCCCTGCCCAGCAATAAATTCTGCTCCCAAACCTTAATCCTACCCCTCTCCCCCTCAATTCGACACTCACATCCCTTGTGTTTCAGTCCCATCCACCCCCCCAGCAATACGTTGTGCCCTTAGCTCCTGTCTTGATGGGGCTGGTTTGCGTCAGTCCCCTCCCAGCCACCTCACTTCCATTCCTCTGGCACCTCTTGGGATTTTTCATCCCCTGCTCTCAAGCCTGGAGGCAGTGAGATAAAGTTTCCCAGGCAGGCTGTTGTAGGAGGAGAAGACCTACACCATGCCGAGCTACTGGGCACTTCCAGCTCTGCTCTCCCAGCTGGTGGCCTGTGAGGCCAGTCAGCAAGCTGTGCTTGCCCTTGGGCTGCTCCTCCCAAGGAGGTGGAAAATCAGCCAGAGATAGGAATCTCTTCTTGGAGACGACACTGAAGATGAGCTGCTGCTTGTCATCCCGCTCATCTCTGCAGTGGTCGTGTCAGCAGGGAGCCCCGTATGGGCTCTCTGTGCTCTACTCCACCCTTGGGGAAGCCAGAAGCTCACCTGCCCATGCTTCCCTCCCAGGACACGGCTTGCAAGGCCACTTGCAAAAGAAACACAGCAATATAGGAGAAAATTTATCCAAAAAAGCACATTTAGGAAAACTACCCTTTCCCCAGTGGAGACACGAACTCCTTCCACTTGCCAAGACATGTCCACTTCCCTTCCCCAGTGTTCCCAGATGGGCCAGAGACAGCCCACAGTGCTGTACTGGGAAGAGATCTTGGGCTGAACCAAGCAAAAGAAGCCTCCAGCCAAAGCTCAGAAAGGACTGTTCCCTGCAGAGAGGTCTTCAGTTCCTCAGCTGTGGTAGAGAGGACCTTCTTCCTCAGATGGGGGAAATGGATGATGTCATATGCTAAGCCCAAGCTCTCTCAAGTTTTGTTATTTGTTCATATATACCAGATAATTAACATAGCTGGATTTTCATTGTGATCTACAGTCAAATCTTGAAGACAAGGTAAAAAACTCATACGGCAGAGGCTAAAATTTTCCTTCCTTTCCTTGGGAAACAAGTTCAAAACCTATCCTGGTTCGAAACATGACATGTTGTACTGCTTTAAACGACAAGCTCCATAGCTCCAGTCCCTGTCTCTAACAGTGGCCAGAAATGGATGTTAAAGAAGCATAAAAAAAGGGGAACGTGTGGAGGGATCCTTCCCCAGGCTCAAGCAGTCAATGGTTTAGATATTCCTGAGCCAGAAACCACATCCAGATCACAGTGTGTAATAGCCACTGACGGAGCTAACCTCCATGAACATGCCTAGTCTCTTTTTGCTCAAATACATTTTTGTTCGTAATAATACTCTATGGCAATGCATCCTATCATTCAAATCCACATTGTGCAAATAAGCATTTTCTTTCATTTGTTTGGATCCTGCTTCCAGGTAATTATCATTTCACCCCCTCATTGCTGTGTGGTAAGAAACAGTGGATTTTATTTTCCTAAGCATCCTCCCTGCATTGAATAAAGTTTTTATAAACCTCTGCCAGTAACCACGCACATTGTCTCTTTTGCAAGATTTGCAGGTTCTGGTCTACGTGGTCTCTGTTTGTGCAGAAGACATTTCACATCTCTGCTCGGCCCTGCTGCCCTACTCCACACCCTTCTCTGTCCCACTCTGTCCTTTTGGCGATGCGATGGTCAGCAGCGAGCCATGCGCCTGTGGGTACACACGGATCAAAGTACAGACCTACAACGATGCTTTTGTTTTGCTCTCTGCTCTTTTCCTAATGACTCCCAACCTTTAGTTTCCCTTTTGAGCATTGAGGGTGGATATCAGGACGGGCAAATCCACCCTTCTCAGTGTTTCTGTGTGAAGGTCTCCTGAGCAGTAGGTGCAGCTTTGCTGATGAATGTGCCCCAGGGTTTTGGAGGGAGGGAGCCAGCTTTTGCCTATAGAGAAGCTAGGGTTTATTTACAATAACAATGAATGAACGTCTCTGACTGCTTTATTCAAGGACCCGCCTTGCACAGGTATAAAGTGGATTATGATGGGAAATGCACATGCATATCAAGAGAGAACTTCAAAATGAACTAACACGAATTCAGTGCCTGTGGTGAGCTGATGCCTGGACTGAAGGTCCTTCTGAGACCCTGGACCTCCCCTATTCTAGCAAAAATAAATTTTTTCCAAGTGCAAAGCAGCACTCCCCAAAGAATTCCCAGTGAAACGAGGAAAAGGCATCCCTACCTTTTTGGTCTTGACTGTTGAGGCACAGCAGTCCCCACCATCATAGTTGCAGAAGGCTCGGTTGTTGATGGAGTCACAGTAGTTGTCCCCCATGAAAGGCTGAAAAAGGAAAAAGCAGAAAAAGGCTGAGAGCATAGACACGGATAAAACTTGCAACAATATGTCAGAAAGAAAACACGAAGACTTGAAGGAGCCATACAGTTTGTAACATTACCATCTGCCCTGAAAAACAAGAGATGATTATTCCCATCTCCCTTCAAAGCAGATGATAGAAAAAAAAAAGGACACTAGATGGAAGGGAAATGAGCCCTTGTTGGCTTTTCACATCCCACATAAGATGCTGCTTCAGGAATATTAATTTGAATAGGCCCACAGACAGCATCAAGGCATCTAAAATTGTGGCATCTTTTGATAATTTTAAGCTAACCTTCCAAAACTATGTGGGCTAAGAAGGTTATGCGTAGCAGCAAAACTGGCTTGCTTTTAATAGCTGTACTTTCCACCACAGTTCTCCTAACTATGCAACAAGTGTCAGCAATGAGGGCACAAAAAATATCACAAAGAGAAATGGAAGTAGTCTGAGCTCAGCACAGGGACTACGTGCTCTCGTTCTCTGACCAGCAGTGACTGTGTGTGACCTTGGCCATGACACGTAATCTTCCTCCGCTCCACAGCTCAGAGCTCGGATAATGGCAATTATTCAGAGGGATGTTGTGGAGAGCTATTAAGTAAAATTCATAAATCACCTTGAAAAAGAAAATGTGGTCACTAGTCTGTGCAATGTGATCACTAGTCTATGTGCTGCACAGGACCTGAATAATAATCACGATTCTGAACAAAAGGCTTGAAGTCTAGTTTTTCATTGCACGTTGGAGCCTTCTTGGTCAGTAAGTACAGAAGTCTTTCTTGGAAGTCAAAGCTGTGCCTGATGCTAAAAAAGACCCGTGCCAGGTATGAGAATCCCAGGCAGCAATGAAAGCTCAGAAAAATGGATGCTCAGTAGAGAGAGCACAGTCATATCTCTGTAACACTTCTTACATGCACAAGCTCATGGGGCCATTCCCATTTTATCTGCTCTTTGGCAAATTCATGTGTTCTGCACTGAGAAAAACACACCAGGGACTTTCCTACAAGAAGACACCGTTGCAGAGCGAGTGGGGAGGCTTGTGGAGGTTTCCTGGGAGGATTTTGCAGCAATTGCAGTACCAGAGTCTCCCTGATGACAGATACCGGAGAAACCAGCCCTGAGAGCTCGCCGTGCTCTCCCCAGGCAGAGCCATGGCCATGCTCATCAGTGTTGAAACGGACCCTGTGGAGTGGTACAGATGCAGGCTTTTACTGCTGATGTGTTGCAAATTTAAATATTTCTGTCAGGGTATAGAAATCCAGGCAATGATGGCAATATCGGACCACAGTGGGCCTACCAGGAGGTGACTGACTCATTGCGTGTCATTTGTTCAGCTGCACGCAAAAACTACAAATGCTGTCAGGGAAATCAGAGTTACCGGTGAGGCTCCTGTCCCTGTAAACTGGCTTAACTCCATTGACTTCCAAAGAGATTGACTGACTTATACAAGCAAAGACTTTGACTTGCAAACGCCCTTCCAATTTAATTAATATGCTAAGAGTTAAAAAGTAATGATTTATAAGTAGTTGGAGAGATAGTTTTAGGCCAACCTGGTCATATTCAAAAACGTGGTCATATTCAACCTCGTCACATTCAAAAACTTTGCCCAACCTCCCAGGAAATTTTGTAGGCTTCTCCATGTTTCCCTTGTACTGCCTGGCTGTGCCTGCTTGTCAAGAAAGCCTTGACTTCAATTTTTCCACGCCTATGCCTGTGCCTACACCTACGAGTGCTAGAAAATCAGCAAAATAAATCTGTGCAAGAAATTGCCTTTCACTCGCACTGGCACAGAGTAGGCAAGTTAGTCCTTTGGAGGAGAAGAATGGGACAAATAACATCTATTCTGATTTGGCACCAAAATCCTCATTTGGGAGACCTTGGAGGCCTGGCTGCGGAGGGTGAGGTCTCTGTAGGTCTTCATGCCTACCTTAATGCTCCTGTATTTCTGGAGGACTATCCAGGGAGCCCAGAGGGACCACTTTTCTACTGCGACACCCAAGTTAGCTGCCGAGAAGTAGGGGGCTGACTGGGAAACCTCTGTTCCTGCCACTAGGGAGCGACAAAAAATCACATTGCAGCACCACCTCGGTGACCACTGCGGTCGCCAAGCTGAAATAATGCCCCGCTTACAGCCTTCCCTTCAGGGAACCCTCCCTAACGCTGAGGGTATTAATACCCTAGGGATTGTATCAGCATTATTGGTATTTATCAGTATTATTGACCTACTGGCTTATTAGTCCCTGTTTCCATAGTTGTGAGAAAAGGCTTGGTGAAGATGGCATTGCTTCTGAAATTTTAATGCCAGAGAACAAGCTCTGGCCCATTCGTGGATCCTGGAAGCACCACGCTCTAAAAATGATGCTAGAGGCCATTATCAATTGTCCGGGCAAAGCCTTCCAAGATGATAGATTGCAATGCGGTGACACTGCTGAATGAATGATGAAAAGAAGAAAGTTCCTATTGATGCAGAGGGGTCTGGCAATTAACAATGATGGAAGGGAAGAAAATGCTGAGAAAAAGCATGTCAGTAATAATGGCTTCTGGTAAATTACTACATCATTGCAAAGTTTGCCTCAGTAACAACTATCCTTAAACAGCAGGAGAATGGATACCCAATGGTGCATCAGCACCTGAATGGCATTTCTTAATGGTCGCTGGATGTTATTTTAGCTCTCTTTGGAGAATAGGGGCACCTAGCCAGCCTGCATGAATGCAATGCGTGAGATGGCTTATGACAGTCAAAGCACTGACAGCAGAATGCTTTTCATTTAGGGAACAACTAGACAGAAACTATTACATTGTTGGAGAGTTATTACCCTCTTGGGCCCAACATTTGTATGCGAAGGAAACCTGTCTTTCACTTCAAGACAAATCACGTCGCACAGCAATGTGGTCTAGAGTTTCGTGTCAGATTTAGGAATTCTGTGCCATGTTCTGCCACTTCGGGCAAATAACTTAAATGCGCTTGTAAAATTCGGTTAGTGGGTGCCGAGAGCACAGTCAGTGCCGCAGAAAGTCAGGAGATGTGGGGTCAAGACACAGCTCTTCCACTGCCCGTCCACATAACCAAAGCAGCCATTTATCCCTCTGCCTGTGAGCTACCCCGTTTCTAAAATGGGCACGAAGCTTCCCAGCCTTACAGAGGCACCACAAGGACTGACTTCTTAAGGGCTGGCATGATGGAAACCGCGTGAGCACCATGACCCAGAGAGAGGTGCTCCAGCCTCGTTTAACTGGAAGCATCTTAAGACTTCTTAGACTTTTCAAAGACTGTTGCCAGCAGAAACAACATCCTTCAAAATAATTGCTTTTTCCAAATAACACACAAGACTGTAAAAATGTATCATAGCTGAAATGTAACTACATTTTTCTGATTTTTTTTTTTCTGGTTCAGACGGAGGTGCACAGTGGAGGGATGTGTGATTTGTTCACCGTCCAGCTATGCTGTCCACCCAGTGGTATCATTTCTGCCTCTGGCTTTCCTAAAGTTTGTCTGCACACACCAATGCCCAAAGCCTAGCTGGCCTTGGAAAGAATTTGCCCTCTAATAAAATGTCAAAATCAAGGAAAAAAACCTGAAGGTTTTTCAACTTCCCAGAAATTCCCAGATCCTAAGAAATTCTGGTGGTCTACCAACGTTGTTGAGCTACTTGATCATGTAACTGCTGTGAGAGTCACCCAACCATCGGCTCTAGGAAAACCACCAATTTCACCATTGAGTGTCAGAACTGATGCAGGTGATCACAGTCTGTTCGATAGGATAGTCAGGGCAAAAATCCGTTATCCCCACTTGAAAAACAGCAGTTACAGCCCACGTGACTGCAGTGACTGTTACCATAACATTTAGGAGAGCAAGCACGGACCACCTGAGCTAACGCGAAAGCTCACCTCGCAGCCTTTGACACAATGGATCAGAGAAGGGTGAGGGTACCACTTGAGTCCCGCCGTGCAGACAACGCTCTGGAGAGAAGAAGAAAAAAAACCAACAGGTTAAGACAAAGAAATCAGTGTACAGAAAGTCAGCGTGCTGGCTCCTATGGCTCTCCTGTACTTAACCAATGAAGTTCAGCTCCTAACACCTCTTGCGTTCTCAGGACCTGGCTGTCCTCCAGGTATTTACAAGAAGTGTTGGACTTGATGCTTGCAATAACAGAACATTTGAGATTAAAATAATATTTAAGGTTCTCCTTAAATGTCACGTCCAATATTTCAGTCGTGGTGGGGGGACATGGCAGGCAAAAGCAAAGGCACGGGTCCACTGTCTTGCTCTTGGGTAGGGGGGAGACATTTTAGGAATTCATTCAGGGATTTCTTTGGTGCTGCAAAGCATTGCTGTCTTTCACCACCCATCATACCTGTGCTTCTTGAAGATGCAAACAGCTAAAAGTGGACTTTCAGATACATTTTCACATCATCTTAAATAATAGCACCTCCCACTACACACCTTCAGAATAACCCCCAGATAGGTCAGCAGCATCTGCTACATTTTATAAACTTTATAATAATTTCTGTACCAACTCTGTTTATAGATTTTCTAGAAGAAAAATGTTGAAGTGCCCAGCTTTGGGCAAAAATTATGAGCAGCCTACTCAATGATGACACAACCAGGGCAGCCCTTGTTTGCCTGTAGACATGGAAACTGAGATTTTTAAGAGTGGATGAAAAGTTTGGCCAGTCAGTGGAGATGGGAGATAGGACTCCCATCCATTCACCAGGACATCAGGCACAACGTTCACTTTGGGTTATTGTCCATGGATGGAACACTACAATGTCCAGTTGGGCAAGATGAACCCAAAGACACGGGTCAGGGTTGGATGGAGGCCTGGGGAAGGAAGGGATTATTAACATTTGGGAAGACCTGACGCACAAGCCATCCCTTCCCCTGTTTATTTGAGGGCTAATTTAATCCATCTGCAGGGGAACCTCAGCATGTTTTTACAGTTTCTGTCATTTGAGGCTTACCTGGCGTGTGCTAGAAAAAGGACTTTTATACTATCTGACTTGGGCTGTTTATCTTTCCGATGCTCTCGGATTTTCCACTATTAGTCAAGCCCGGCTTGCCCCACCTGCCTCGCAACAGGGCCCGTCTGTGTGAGCGGAGAAGCGGCCAGGCGAGGGGGGAGGACGTTGTTTATCCCCCGGGAGGGAGGCTGCAAGGTGCGGGGGCCCTGTGGTGTCAGACGTTCCCCCAGCGTGCTCTTGACAGACAGCTGGAGATTTCCAGGCTGTTGCCTGCCACAAATGGTGAGGGTTTTCTTCCCCCTCCGCTTCTGTTTATTGCACTTCAGAGGGAGAAGAAAGGAAACTTTTCTAGGTTTCAAAATAAACAAGGCCAGTCAACAGACCGGGAGGAGGGAGAGGAAAGGAAGCAGTTCAAGAGCATTTGAACCCAAGAGTTAAATGAAAGTACAAAACCTCAGGCATTTGCCTCCCGTATCCAAGGCCAGCCAGACAATAAGTAGAAGTGCACTTCCAAGGAGCATTGCACATTCCCCTGGTAAGAAGCATCAATATTTACAAAACTCCTTGATATGTGTGAATGTGTGTGAGCATGTGGAGCTTACAAAAGGAGCCGAATAGCCCTGAAACAGGCTCTTAAGAAAGGAGGTTCACAAGCGAGAGCAACCCCTTGCAGGAGATGCACTGACTACTTCCCTGACCCTCCCACTATCAAAAACCCAGCACCCTCCCTTAGAGGAACAGATGGAAGGTGAAGTCTCTGCTAGGTCAGTGATCTCCTCAGAGCTCGCACTCAAGGTCATCCTCAATCCCAAGGGCTGCACAGCCTTGGGCTGGACGTCGTCCAGGAAAAGGGAGTGCAGCCCCGAGCCGCTTTCCATAGCGTAGGAAAGCCAGTTGACCTTGTGCTAGATGGATCACTGGGGCAGTGGGACATGCACATTGCTCTTGAGTGGTACCTGCCAACGGCTTAGTCCCAGTTACTTCGCCCTCTCCTTGGATGATACTTTGCTAGCGGAGACCATTAGAGCTACTCCAGCTGAATTCAATCCTGCTAACATTCACAGAGCTGGAAGCAGAGGATGCTGAGGGAAGGGCCCTCAGCCATGGTCCTGGTTCCGCTTTCTGGTTTTCCAAACCCTGAATTCCCACCACCCAGTCTGTTTGTACCCTCAGGTGCTGCTGTGGTGTGTGCGGTGCAAGGGGATGGGAGAGGGAATATGAGTAGAGGGAGAGACTGGGTTGGAAAACTGAGAAATTGGGGATGATTCAGGTTGCTGGGCATCGTTTCTGCCTCTTGCGGTGCAAAGAGGCACATAGGTGCCACAGGGCGCTGCACAGGGCAACTGAGATAAACAAGTGTATAAAAAGCAAGCAAGGAAGGATATAGGCAGCACTACTGCAGGTGGTGACCAAGACCCGATGGCATCAGTGCGCACAGAAAGGCAGGTGGACTCACAAGGCCAAAAAGGATGCGGGAAAAGCTGGATGGAAGGACCACATCCAACACGTGCCAGGCAGTGCATGGGGAACAAAGCCCATCTGGCCACTGCCTCTGCGAGCTCCATCCCTTCCCCGTGCTGCCACGTGCTCCCAGCCGCTGTGGTGACACATGCCACCCTCATGGCCCCAGCTGCCCTCGTGCACTGGCTTCTGCAGCACAGCCGCCCTCCCACATGGGCCATGCTGTGCAGCCGGGTGTATTGACTTTGGTCCTGTCCCCATCCCAGAAACGCCATCCAGCTACATCTGCGGTTTGGTGGCTGTGACTCCCATCTGCTGCAAAGGGAGAGGAAGCCAGGATGCGCTCCCACAGTAGGTAACAAAAAGCCAAGAAAGCAAATCAAGCTGTCATTTTCTCCTTGTGAGGGAAGACCTAGTGCCTCCGGTCACGGCGCTTCCCTCCCATGGTGGGGCTAACACAATGATGTCAACCATTTGCGGGCTGCAGAGGGGATTAGGTTTCCCCAAGAGGCCGGTGGAGAGCTCTCCTCCACCTTAGATGGGTCAAGTGTCCCCCAGGGCTAAAGCCCAGGGACTGGCAGCTACTGGTCTCAGCTAAATCTCTCCTCAGGCACTAAATGAACATGACAATTAACCGTGGACTTAACGTGGCGGTGGTGAGGGGATCGGCCGCTGCTGCCACAAGCAGGCAGACAGGGCATTTTGGGGCTGTCTCCTCCTGTAGCTACAGACGGGGTGGGAACTCCTGCCTTCCCCGGCGCTGAGCCGCCGCACTGCAATAAGTCATTTCACCACTCCGTGACTCAGTTTCCCCACCTGTAAAACGAGCCTAACACTCACAGAAAGGGGAAAGGAGAAGGAAGGAGGAAAACTACATAAAGCGTAATCGAATAGGGAAGTATTTAAGGAGAATTCCCATTAATGACTTCTGGACATCCAAAAGCCCAGGGCTTGCACTGCATAAGGGAAAATACATCTCCAGCAGTAGGGCAGCATCCCAGGCGTGCAGAGGGGCCATGGCCACACTCAGCCCGGCTGGCGGGCAGCGTCGGGGCATGCCGACCCTCTGAAGGCCATCCCAGGTGTGCACCTGCTTGCACAGTATTTGGCCTGTTCCTGCTCAGCACAAAGGCAAGAACTCAAATTCAGACAACCTAAGAAATTAGGTGTCTGCCCTGTTCCTCTGCAGTCAATGGGAAAGAGCTGTCAAGCTGTCTTTCTGAGATATTTAACTTTTTTCTCTACACTGCCTGCACAGTCAGTCTTGGCAGCTCTATCTATAGGTGTCTGCAACAGCTCGCTGCCCCTTGCACACGCACGGTAAATGGGAAATCACGGGAACAGCAACGGTTGCTTCGAACACGGCCCGCTGCAGAACAACAGACACACAGAAGATTTCAGGTGAATTTTTTTTTTTTTTTCCTGATGAAAATACTGATTTGGAAGACACTGCCAACCTACACTGATTTCGGCAAACTGTTTCAGACCCGACAAAGCAACTCAGCCTAAACCAATTCTGAAAACCACAGTAATATTTAGACATTTTTTGAAATGAAATATCTGTTGTTGTTGTTCCTTAGAGAGGACATTTAATTTCTAAGTTTTTTTCATTTTCATTACACAAAAAGTTTTAAAAAAATTCTTGGAAATGAAATGCTACGTTATGTTCAAACCAACATGTTTTTTTTTTTTTCTCCAATTTTTTGGTTCACCAAAAATCACAGCAACAAAAAAGTCACTTTGATTAGGAGAAAACATTTTTTTTTAATTTGACAGAACTTCCAGTGAACCGAAAAATCAAGTGATTTGCACAGCTCTGCTCTAAACACGCCCAGAGGAGGGATGGTTCCCTCTTCCCACTTTGCTTCCATAACAGCTGTTGCTTGAGCAGCTACACACAAATACTGGTTTTTTTCCTTGCCAGCTCTCCCTATGTTTTATCTGTGCCTGTCCTCTCAAAGGTAAGCTCCAGAGATCGGTCTTGCCTTTATCTGCGTCTCATCCTGCACTCATTTGTACATTACTTGTGCCTGAAATTAAGTAACTAAAAATGTTTCCTTGCGTCATTCACGTACTTGGAGATCCACAAAGGCTTGCCGTGTAAATACAACCAGCTGCTTGCTTTACTCGTATGGCACAACAGCAAGCTGTCACTGACCGTAAAGAGAGACACGTATTATTAATGATATACAAAACATTGCAACGGGGACCTTCCCCTAAGGCATCCCAGCCCCATCTCTCCAGGGTTTTCCCGGTCCCACCAGCAACAGCATCTCCCCCAGTGGCACCCCACGAGGCATCACTCCCTGTGAGCGACATCCCTTTATCTGGACAGTTGAATAAGATGGATGTTTTACAGCTACCAAAAACCCCCCTCCAGTAAGTCTCAGCATCATCCTGCTCATCTCCTAAAGGCTCCCCTCCATCTCCCAACACAAGTTTTCAAGCCCAAATCTCAGCCTCCAGTTACAAAGTGTTTGTGGGGTCAAACTTGTATCTGCTCACAGCCTTAAACTCTTGCAAGATCCTCACCATCAAGGCAAAAAAGGTCTTTTTTACCACTGTACTCTTGGAAACCATGATTTCTTCTCCATCCCTCACTCCCCACTTTACTACTATATGTTTTCCCTGCTGCCTAATGAGCCCTCCAGAGACCTGCAGGTATAAAACTCGTTACAGCTCCCTCTGTGTACTCGCATCAATAAACGCTGGAGCACAGCAGAGAACGCGAGGGAAGCTGTCACTTTATTTCACCATGAGTTACAAAACCACTTTAAAGCCTAGCACTCGGGAAAGGGCCAGTGAGAAATTGCCCCGAATATAGAGATAGGGGTTTTCTTTATGTTTCATGCCAGAAACTTGGCAAAGCCTAAGCTTAGGCAGTAACATAATCTTGGTGTCTGGAGTGAATGGGAAGCTGGGAAGGACACTGCAAGCTTGTCGTATTCTCTGGTTCCCCACCCCTTTCCAGGATTTATTCTATTGCTCCACGTGAAACAGGGAAGTATAAAGTGATTTTTGGAGCGGCTTGCTATCCACTACCAAGGCCAGATTTCAAAAATCCCAAACCCTGGGTACATATTTAGGCATGTAAAGAAGCAAATCGACTGTCAAAGTTGCTCAGGACATGCTGGGGCTGTGCTGGCTGCTTGTTCTGCTCCTAAATGGAGTCACACCTGCAGAAATATTGTGTAGGCACAAGCGCCGGGTTACACGCCTTTCTAGGTGGGAGGGCACATTTGTGTAGATGCCACGAGGGTTTTCAGAAAAAGGTAGATGTCTGTGTCTCCCACTGGTATCCAAGTGTCTCCTACTGATATCCGAGGGCAGGCATGAAACCAAGCAGCTATTTGCCATGAGTGGCATGTGTGTGCAGGGGTGAGCGTGTACGCAAGACACTGTACATGAGTGTGCATGTCCCCATCAGGGCAAACTGATGCCGGTGTGTGCTGGAGGATGCGCAGGACGGAGAGCCGTGAGCGGTTAGTGCTGCCTGTGCATTTGCAGCAGGCAGGAGGAAGAAGTGGTGACCTCTGGAAGGGGCTGTGCTGAGCAGGCATCTCTCGCATACGGGCGAAGGGGCGGGGGGAGGACTCAGCCAGCTCTGCTGGTTCTGGAAATGAAATACCCTCTGTATCAGCTTCTTTTGTCACCCAAAAGCAGTGTAGAAAAATCCAGCCCTGCCACGCAAAGAATGCAAAATACCAAACAGGAGGCAGAAAACAAAACCTGGCCAGTGCCCTTTCCCTCACTGTCCATCACATCTTCCTGTGCAATGAATCATGTTTCCAGATCACACCTACCGTAGGTGCGGGGTGGATCCGAGCACACTGATTTGGGGCCTTTACCTTGAACTGACTTTCACTGGGAAACCAGAGAGAAAGCAACTTGGAGAGAAAGCCACCACGTTACCAAAACAACACGCAACGACATAACAAAAATCAGGAATTCTTTCTAAAGGGCAGAATTCCCCATGTATTCCCCTCATTGAATGAACCACAGGTAAGGCTGTTCACTCACTGCACATAAACATGCAACAAGGGATATAGTTAGTGAAATCGTCAGGCACCGACCTTCACTCTTTGAGGGTTCATCCAGTGCTGGATGTCTTGCACAGTCTCGTTCATGCGCAGGAGGATGGGCTCGTGACTGTGATCCAGACATGAGGTGGTACACTCCGTGCCTGCATGGAACACGGACAGGATAAAGCTAAAGGATAAAGCAAGCAGCTTCTGACCCTTTCAGCATCCTTCCAGCTGAAGGACAGGATTAGGGCTCATTTTTCCTAAATTGCAATTAGCAGTCAACCGTAACTATCACATATCTTCTAGCCACACATGAAATGCTGAGTACAACCCTGTATCTCAGCAGGAGATGGTGGGGGTGGCAGATACTCCAGGGCCTTTTTGTATGAGCTGCATATCTAGGTATTTCGCTGGCTATTAACTCCAAGAAGGGGGTCAGGTTTTGCGCTTTCAGATCATCAAGAAAATGTGAGCGTTTTTCCATTTCAACTGCTCTTTCAAGCAACAAGGCTGATTAAGCAGAGGCTATCGAACTCATCTCACCTATGACATGACAAAAACCTACCGTTTGATCTGTCAGATTTACAGACCTTCAATAATAATCTTTCAGAGGGTGACCAAGCCTAATGATATTGCAGACGAGCTATCACCTAAGTCCCACAGTCAATAAGAAGTATGCAGAGAGGTAACGATGGCTTTGTTCACACATAAACCTGCTTTTTCTCTGATTAACTGTCATGCCCAGTTGGAATCCTGTCCTTTCTTTATTAAAACATGCTGTGATACTCTGCAGCAATATCCCAGAGCCCTGTGGTGACACAACCGTAAGCCCCAGTGTGTTGGACCATTACCATTTCCCCCCTGGAAAATCACTCTTGAATGGCACAGCTGCTGCAAACATGTCATTAGGATTTCTGCACTCCAATCAGCGCGGGGGGAGGAATTAATCTCCGCACTGGTTCGGAGAGCTGAACCTTTGGCTCAACACACCCCTCAGCCTGGAAGGGCAGATTAGGTGTCTGAGGAATTACCAAAGGTGTGTGGGATTCATAGTGACCACGACTGGATGCTATTATTTTCCCCACCTGCCTGTGCCTTCTCACGTACTCCCACATGGAGGAGTCAGCGGGAGCAGAGCAGACCTGGGCCGTTGAGCCAGCAAGGCAGGGAGCGCTTGGGGTTTGTTTTGCTTTCCCAGCACACGTGGCAGTGGCTCCACGGACCTGCTGGATGAGGCCCATTGACACCAGGCCTATTGCAAGTGAATGGCGGGAGAGCGCCTTCTCAGAAGGACATCGATCAGGCTTCCAAAAAAATAAAGAAGAGAAGAAAACCCCAACAATCTGATCCCGAAAGGTGGTGCTGGGCAAGCCTAACAAAGTGTGTGGTATGTCTCCATCTGCTGAGGATAAGAGCCAACGGCCACTGTGCCCTCGCCAAGCTCTTCTTCCCTCTCCAGCGAGAGCCACCCTCTCATGGAGGATCTGGCCCATGAGTCCCTCACCTCAATGACAGCTGTGGTCCCATCCCAGGATCAGACCCACCAGCCCTTGCATCTGGGATCGGCACCTGCTGAC